TCGTTAAAAAAAACGTATGTTACCTACTGACTACTTATTGTGTTAAAATTATCATATTATTCGCTAGAAACGATACCGCGGATCATTAACGCAATCCAATGCCAATAGATAAACATGAGACCAAAAAATGCGGATAGCAAATACAAGTGTGTGAAAGCGAGACAGAACATTCTCGTAACATTGTGCATTCTTCTCGTCACATTCGAGTAATTTCTAAACCTTCAAGATATGGTTCTTCATCACATTTAAGAAACACTAATATATCAATGAACCGCGAACTATTTTTACCGTGAGGAAAAATAGGGTATAATAAAGCAAATGGCTTAGATAATAAATATATACATATATATATATATATATATAAGTACATATAGGATAAATATTTTTAATTGATTGTTTTTATTAACTATTTTACATAAGAAAGGACAATACGGTTCACCTGATGATAAGTTGACCTATCAATAAATAAAAAACTAAAGTTATAAGTAATCTTTTATTTATAAATTTACACTTGCCAAGAATAAAGTAAGTTGCACATTATTTAAACTTCTCTAATGTAAATCGCTTTTTATTTATTTTTCATTTAATAATTTACGTTAAAAAAAATGTAAAATATCTATGCCATGGGCTTCAACTTCGTTCACCTATCTTTTTCCTCACAATAAAAAAGTTACCCGTTATATTTGACATTTTGTTGTTTCTAACCACAAAGACAGAGGGGTAATGTGTCATCACTGAACAAAAATTTGCTTTTAGCAGTAACAATTGATCAGTATTAATACACCCCTCTAACAAGCTTAATTGCTTATCCTAATTTTAACTTCCAAATCAATAAAGAACCAACAGCATTCAAAAAGCCATAATTCGATCAAATTCTAAACCACAAAGTAGTTTTGTTTTTGTTTTCAAAGTTGATAACAACATTAAACACAGAGGAAATATCAAGCTCAACACATAAGCGAAATGATAACTATAAAGTAGCAGATCGAAATGCAGCAAATATTTTATTTTATTAACGTGACTTTATCATACTTATTTGTTCACATTTACTAAATACGACATGATACAAGACAAAATCTCTACAATTAATTATCAGTTTCGAAATTTGTGAGATTGTAATCAGCGTTCGCTAGAAGCCGTAAAGCTAACGTCGATTAACTAAACGAGATAATCTGTGATATTCTGTGACGACAGACATTTTGCCAATTTTTTGCCAAATATATTTTATATATAATATGTCACGCAATATTTTCGTTAATTGTGAACCCATCTTGCAATTCTCTTTTAGGAAACAATATGTATACCTAATAATACTTTAGGGGTGATCCTACACGAAATTGGAGAAAAGGGTGGCAAAATGATGAAATACATTAAAAATGTAACCAGTTAGACGACAGTAAGATTATGATATTCCTTAGTCTCCTCAAAAGGGTAAAAAAAAATTAAAAGCCGATTTATTTATTTTTTTAAATATTAATATATTTTCACTTTCTGACGCCGAGGTTAATTCCTTCATACACGTCTTAGCATCGACTTTTAAATGTGAAATTATCAACTATTTGAAGTCATTAAAGTCAGCTAAGTACTTTTTATTTAAATATTTTTTTACAATAGGTATTGCATTGCATACGTGTTCCAGTATTTTAGCAGATATTGACTGATATTTAGCAAAGAATTTTAATGAATAAATACGAAAACTAACACTGTGTGTTATGTTTATAAGATAAATACACTCTTAAATACCTTATAATCAATAAATTACATTTACATAATATATAATTCAATGGGTAACATATTTTTGCTAAAATACAATAAGTAATATTCCATTACTTTTAACATTAATATAATAAATAAATCATGAAACCTAAATCCATTCCTTTCATACGTCTATCAAGCACCATTCTTTTTATAATTAAAGTATACTCGTAAATACCAATGGAAAAGTAATCGAAACTTTAATTGAAAATGAAACGTAAGTACGTACTGGTGAATGTAACAAGAATTACAATCATGAAATGAAATCTATGAAACATAATATCAGAACTACGTCATTTAGAATTATAATCTGACGTAATAAACGAGGTTAGATTTATATATAATTTTGTAAAATCAAAAACCATAACATTAGAAGGTTCATTATATAAATATAAATCTTGATTATCCATTTCAACGTCAAAAAAATCCATATGCACTTTTGAAATGCGAGAATTTGTTGTAATATCGAAATAACATTCCATAGAAATTAGCAAGGATAAGCTGTTTTGTATGAACATTGTATGAAACGATACATTTTGACACAAATATGATATCTTTCTTAATAAAAGCAATTAGTATGATACAACATAAAACATCAGTTACATGATATAACTAATGGAACATTTATAAAGATAAGATGATATGATTGAATTCAGAAATGTATTCGGTGAGTATGTCAATATGATGATGTTATTTAATAACTTGTACTTACTAATTTTACTAGTTTGTTTTTAATGGAACAAATAATAATCAGTTGATACTAAAAACTACAAATAAGATAAATAAACAGGTTAAAATAAAGGAATAAAAATTAAAAGAAAAACAGGGCTATTGAGGGTTTTTAAATATATTATAAACACTGGTGGTACGAAATTTTCCAAAGATCTTAATTTGGAAAGTTCAATTTTTTTTAAATCGCTGTGTAACTAAAAGTACTAGTATAAATATTAGGATACATAGTATGGTTTGCTTACACCTTGTTTATTATTGGGTATAAATAGAAATTGTTTATTTTTGATAATTATAGAGATATGCCACTAGCAACACTATCGATGATTTCATGATCTCCAACAACTATTTTTTATTAAAACAAAGGAATGCTACATATTTTAAACATGTCTACGTATTCAGAATACATATATCCCTGATAAAGTTGGGTTTCTACTGTATTGTAAATTGACATTTGTTTTTATTTTAATATGTCGAGATTACAGTGTTTTGGTGATAAAGCTTACTTTACGGATAATATCTTGAAACTTAAAACGAAGTAAATTGCAAAATCAAAAATAATTAACTACACACGTACAATAAGTGTAAAAAATAAATTTACTAAATTCCGCTTAAATCATATGAGGCTTGTACATTTATAATCTGTACTTAGTAGAACCAAACCGTCACCTGTCCAACACATTTTATTAGAATTCCTACTAAAGAAAATTCATCAGGGATTGAAAAGCTTCCCAATATACGTATATTTTAATAGTTACGATGTTAAAGCGGGAATCCGAAGCCATTACAAACGAAAAATCCAAGAGACGTTTATTAACACGTACAGAGATACAAGTTCAAACTGTTTGAATTTATGGAGTGTCGAAAACAAAATGTTAAAATGATACCAAGACAGTTAGTCGTGTCGGGAAAATAACAATACGAGTCGAACGGGAGGTGCCGTGCAGGCGCGTCTGGCGTGCGCGTCAGGCTACAGCGACCAGTGGAGGACATAGTACAAAGTGTACTACGCGCGTCTTGCGTATTAATCGAATCGTGTTGATTTTTCCGCGATGCAAAACATAAATACGGAGACGTTTATTAGCGAAATAATGTCTCGGTCTGCAATATGGTCTAGTAAGCGTGAAAATTATAAGCATAATATTATATTTCTCAAAACTTTTGTCTACGAAAGTGCCAATTTAGAAAACCTCATTTATAGCCCGCGCAAAAATTGAAGAAAGAAACCACATGTCATTCAGCCGCCTCAACGTGGCATACTACATCGTCTTCACGCCTCCCGCCTCCGCAGCCCGCAGTCGCTCTAGCGTGGCCAACGCCTTAGTAAATCTATTGTCCCCAATCCCGGTAACTTACATGCGTTTTGCGGAAAAAAAATGGGGCGGAGATATTGATATTTGTTACTATTATTTATAAAAACTTAAGTTAAACGATATTATAAGAGATAATAAATATTTTATAAATAAGTATTTAATTAAATATCAGTCTTAATTTTAAGATTATCTGTACTGAGTTTCATCGTAATCTGTCCGATACGCTTTAGAGGAGATGCTAAAAAAAATTGCATCGGAATTAGAATAAGACACAACACAGCTCCGCCCCAGAAATAAAACGCAGCACGTCCCGTAAGTTGTTGACCTCAATATTGAACCTGTAAAATCGGTACGTAGTTAGTATTTAACGGCCGCTACCAGTTAAACCTTACCTAACCGAAATTAGAACCTGACCAGTAAAAGAAGCATTAAGAATATTAAAAAAGAACTGAACGAAATTTAGTATTGGCTTTCAACCCCTATATAAAATGTAATGCGTTAATATTTAACTACTTACTTATTATTGGTTTATTTTATAGGTACCTACTTTAAAAAAAAAAACAGATTTAAGAGGGCAAAATAGCACTCGGGTAAAACTTTAAGTTCTTTGACACGGACAATATATAAAACAACACGACTTAACTAAAATAATATCATGTGATGAAAACCATACAATATGTGATTGCTACACGTACAAAATAAATTAATTACACTGAATTACAGCTAAACACAACGCAATAAATACAACGCGAACTTCTTAGAAGAGAATACTGTGACACCACAATTTTTAATAATCTTTATAAGACAAAAGAAATTAAAAACGAATAGGAATATCTATTTTACCATCGTAAATCGAAAATGGCGGTCGATTTGAATGAGTCTCGTTCTCACAACTGCAGCTGTCACTGAACTGACAGCTGTCATTGTCACCTGTCATCAATATTTCTTCTCTTCCCGTATTGTACAACACTATATTCTTATTTAATTGTTTCCCTTCGGTTTGACTGTGTGGGTGATCGCCGTTAGAGTTTTGAAGGAGCGTGTCACGGTGACAATGAGCAGCTGCGCAGTGGCGAGACACAAGGCGCGTCTCACTGTGACACATGCCAGGGTGACACATGCCAGGGTGACACACGCCACTGTGACACGCGCCGCAGTGACATTCCCGCCTCCCGTCTACTGTTCCTTCCTCTCCGTCTCGTGTCATACGAAATCCATGGCGTCGTGGGCCTTCGTCGAAAACTTTCCGTGCGACCGCTTCTTGATCGTGCGCTCTATAAACTTTTTGATCTCGCTAACTATGAACACGCTTGACGTCAGGCAGACTAGGAATATGAGATCTGGAATAAGATATGAAAATCAGAATCATGTAACCGTTTCTTATATTTACGCGCACACTACACATTAAATGAAACTAATTTTACGGATTTCATCGCGTTTAATTTTAACTTTTTAATTCGCTAGGTGGATTTCATAGCTAGCCCGGCTACCTTCAGCTTTTGAATATACATTTTTGTTGCGGTCTACGCAGAACGAACTTACAGTATCTTGAAATCTTAGTGGTATGCTTGGGTTTGGATTTAATTTCGATAATTATAGTATCCCTAAAAGATGGTAACACTCATCCATTTTCTCTATTGAAATAATGATATTTTTTTATTTAGTAGCCTCGCGAATCATTCTTTTGATAAGAATCGGTGTTCTTTTGCGCGGATTTGATCTTATCTGATGTAATGGCGGAGACGATCTTGAGCATATTCACAGACTGCAGTTTTCCCGGAGCGTCGATTATTACTGTCGCATACTTTATTATACTGCCCTATATTATACCGTGGAGTGGGCCAGTGGATCTATTACATCACCACAACAGGCATGTAAGTTAGTTAATGTTAATAAAGTATTCGTAACAAACGAATAGAACTTATGACGTTCAGGATGTTGTAGACTTGTTGTACTGACTGAGGGATGGTGATTACGATAAAAACATATAGTTGTGTAATAAACAATAAAGTCATGAAATAACGGGTGTTTGTGAAACGCTCCCAAAAACGGAGACAGACGGTAGTACTAACGATACCTTTGATGATGGGACCAAAAGGAAAACGATCCCGATGCTAAATGAAACGATAATTTCATTAAAAAAAATCAAAAAATACTTAAACAAAACCAGCAGAATAAAACGTTGTGAAAATGATTTCTTTTTCATTAGGATTTCATTAAGATCCACTTTCTTTTGGTCCCAAGTCCAAAGGTATCGTTGGTACTATCGCCTGTCTTCGTTTTCGGGAGCATTTCAAAAATACACTGCACATAGTTAGGGTTAATTAACATAATTATATAGCTAGGGTTTTTATTACAAGTTAGGGTCAATTATAAATACGCACCATGTCCGGTGAGAGCCTCAGTTTGGAACACTCGTTGAAGCGGTGGGAAATATATCACGAGCATTTGTCCCACCAAGCTTAAAGTCACTGCCACCAAAAACATTCTGTGAAGATGAATCTTATTTAGAAAGAATCCCATCCTAAATGCAATTTCACTTATAAGCTAGCTTCATCATTCATCATCATTACAGCCCTTCACAAGTCCACTGCTGAACATAGGCCTCCCCCAAGTAATGCCACAAAGCACGGTCCTAAGCCACCTGCATCCATCGACTTCCTGCATGTCTTACCAGGTCGTCACTCCATCTAGTGGGGGGTCGCCCTACACTACGCCTACCGGTACGAGGCTGCCACTCGAGAACCTTTCTTCCCCATCGGTTATCGGTTCTTCGAGCTATATGGCCGGCCCATTGCCACTTCAGCTTACTAATCCGTTGGGCTATGTCGATCACTCTGGTTTTACTGCGGATATCCTCATTTCTGAGTCTATCACGCAGAGAAACTCCAAGCATAGCCCTCTCCATAGCTCGCTGAGCGACCTTAAGCGTCCTCATACGGCCAGCAGTGAAGGACCACGTCTCAGATCCGTAAGTCATCACTGGCAACACGCACTGGTTGTACAATCTAGTTTTTAGAGATTGAGGTATACCTGACGAAAAGATATGTCGTAATTTCCCGAACGCTGCCCAGCCGAGTTGAATCCGTCGATTGACCTCTCGGTCGAAGTTGGACTTACCTAGTCGGACTATTTGTCCCAGGTAAACGTACTCGTCAACAACTTCGAGCATAGTGCTCCCAACAACTACCGGCATAGGTGTGACATGGACATTAAACATGATCTTTGTTTTGTCCATGTTCATCTTAAGACCTATCCGTTGGGAGGCACTATTGAGGTCATTGAGCATCATGCTTAAGTCCCCCAGCGATTCTGCCATAATGACTATATCGTCGGCAAATCGAAGGTGAGTGATGTACTCGCCATTGATGTTAATACCGTATCCTTTCCAGTCCAGTAGCTTGAAAACGTCTTCCAACGCAGCGGTGAAGAGTTTCGGGGATATAACATCACCCTGTCTTACACCTCTCTGCAGTTGGATAGGTTTCGAACTCTGGTTCTGTACTCGGATAGCCATCGTAGCCCTACTGTACAAACACTTCAGCACTTCGATGTACCGACAGTCAACTTGGCACCGCTGAAGGGACTGTAGCACCGCCCAAATTTCGACGGAATCAAAGGCTTTCTCATAGTCCACATATGCCAGGCAAAGTGGCAGATTGTACTCTTCGGTCTTCTGTACAATCTGCCGCAGGGTATGTATGTGGTCTATGGTACTGAAGCCTTTTCGGAAACCGGCTTGTTCGGGAGGCTGGAAGTCGTCGAGACTGCGTGCGAGACGATTCGTAATGACTCTCGAAAATAGCATGTAGACGCGGCTCAGAAGGGAAATCGGTCTGTAGTTCTTCAAGAGAGCGTTGTCGCCTTTCTTAAAGAACAAAACCACCGCGCTTCTGCTCCACGCCTCCGGAGTAGTGCCACCATGGAGGACGGAATTGAAGAGCTTCCGAAGTAAGCTAGCTGTCTGACAGAAATTAGCAAATGCGATATAATATCATACCTACATGAATTGTGAATCAAATTTATAGTACATACTATTTTTGTAAGGACATGCCAACGTTTTTTAACCCATGGCATCAAAATATTATCATTATCATCATTGTCACAATCATCATCATAACTATCATGCACAATTTTAAGTGTTCTTTGTTAAATCGTAATGGCACCCATGCACTTTTTGCGCCCATGTAAAGTTTGTTCAACTCTGCAAACAATAAACTGAAGTAACTAACTTACAGTCCACCGGATGGTAAGTGACCACTACAGTCTATGGACATCTGCAGACAACTTCAAATAAAGAAGGATATGGTGTCACCCCTGAGTACTAAGATGGAATTACCCTTTACTGTACCCTTTTTAAATGGTACAGCCACGCTGCAGCTATAATATGGTTGTAGCACGAATGGGTCGGCTCGAGCGGAAAGGACCACACTCTCACAGAATACCAGCGTAAAATAGCAGCGCAATGCTGCTGTGTTTTGTATGGTGAGTGTGGAAAACTGAAGACCCTTTTTTCTGGAAATGAGGCATGCCATTATAGTCTTCAGGGGTGACAACGCATCTGCATTTTCATTCTTAATCAAGGATAGATGTAGATGTCTATGGGCCTCAGCATCCCCTTACAATCACATGGACTGTATGCCCGTTTGTAACCCTTATTCTATAAAAAAAAAGCCTTAAATAAGGGTAGGTAACCCACGCAGACGAGCTACTACGCTGAACCCTTGAAATTTCATCATATACTAATTGGAATATTGGGTCATTGTTAATGAAAATTCATTCCTTTTATGAAAAACTGTAGTTCACAAGTGTGATAACGAGCCAATAATTTCGATTAGAACTTTCACTCACCGATTAGAGAATAGGCCTACTTGGAAAACGGATTTGGTCTGAGAGCGACACGAGAGAGCGTTGAACATATCGAATAACACGAAGCACGTGAAGGTCATCGTTGTATCTCGGGGAGTTATCTTGTTATCTGACATCTGGGAACAAAAGTAATAATTCAAATTTACACTCATTTTATACATTCCTTAGAAAAGTGAGTAAACTTATACTAACTATATTCTGGACCATAATAACTATAGTCCAGAATCTTTTATCGTTCTTCTTGTAGGAGATCTAACTTATGAAATTGTTATTAAAATAAATAAAGTGATTATTTGTTTATATAACAACATTGCTTATATCACCCATGGATGATTAACCAGTATGAAAAGCACTTCTTTCCCACGATGGAATTAGTAATGAAAATAATAATGGTGTTACAGTTTCTTGTCATTAATTAACCATTAAGTTTCTTTTTTTTTTTTACTCACTCCCTCTTCTTTTATTCTACATGTTGATTCGCTCTCCAGCGGCGTTTGTGTGTAAAATCGGTTACCCCCAGAGAATTTTCTGAACCAATACGACTTAGAGATCTTCAAAAAACGGGCTTATTGCTTTTTAAACGCATCTGGAATTTCCCTGGTGTTGTGGTTATTCACGGATGGCGATCGATATTTACTATCAGGTGAGTCTTATGCTCGTTCGCTATACGTGTACGCGTATACTCTCTTTCTTGCACTCTCACACTTACTCAGAGTGAGTTTGTGATTTGTCACATTCCTCCTTCTCCTATTTCCTCTCTCTCTTTTTACTCCCCCCTCCCTGTCACCCTCTCCTTCTATCTTACTCTTTCTACCTTTTTTCTCCCTGTAAATCTCTCTTTCTCTCATCCTAACTTTCTCTCTCGCGTGACAGGATGCGGCGCGACGTGACGCGCGGCCGCCGCAGCACCACCTCGTGGTCTACCGGCTGCAAGTGACGAGGTGGAGCTTTACCTCGCGGTTGAAGACCCAGAGTGTGCCGGCGATGATGATGGCGGCGGAGATCAGCACGGACAGCAGCAGGCCGCGTGACAAGATGCGGCGCGACGTGTCGCGCGGCCGCCGCAGCACCACCTCGTGGTCCACCGGCTCCACGCCCAGCGACTGCGCCGGCGGCCCTGCACACCACACCCCCAAAATTAATCACGCTATCCACGGCTTTTAGATGTGATTACGTCTTTAAATTTTCTTCCATAGTAAGTAGCAATTGAAGACATAAGTGGATGAAGGTGATAACTCGCATTTTACTAATTTTTAGTAAATCAAGATTGAAGTTTCAGTTTTGTTTTTTGAAATAAGTTGTTAGAAAATTAGTTTTTGATTTAAACTATAATGCAAAGTTGGGTAAACAAACTCAAAAAATTTGGGTATGTGAGCAATTAAACACTTTTAATACTTTTTGGTATATAATTTCGAAAAAAAAAACTGAACATAACTCTTTCTTTCACTAACATTTTTAAAACATTTTGGCATTTCAGCTATTTCAAATTAGGTGTTAAGTAACATTATGTACTTAAAGTATTACAAAAAGCTAAACATTACTTAAATGTTCTTTAAAACATTATCAATAAAAACGTAAACTAATAAAACAGAGATCAGTCTTGACACTAAAATAAAACAGAGATCAAAATAATCCTATTTTTTCAAATAAAATCGACTCATAGAAGTATCGATATTCCGGCTTTACGTACTTAAGTTGTTCTCGGAGATTTTCTTTTTTTTCCACTGATACGGTACCACATTTTCCGTACGTACGCGGAATCTCCACAGAATTGCGTAACTGAGATCTTCTTTTCAAAATGTCCACCTTTTTGAAAGGTGTCATTTCATCGTATGTTTCTTTATATAGGTAGGAACCATATTCATCTACGCGTATCCATTTAATACCATCCCTAAAACTTACTTTGTCATTGTTTACATCTTTTTTTCTGTTAATCAAATTAAGTTTTTCCTGTAACTCACCAATTTTTCTGAAATGTGCGCTCATGTCAATGACTGTATTATTTCGAGAAGCTTTGCATATAATATTCCTGTATTGTTCAGGAACATAAACTGTATCGTGTTTCCTAAGGACTTTTTCTATCCTACCAAAATCACGATCCGAATCTAAATAAGAATGGCCAACCTCAGGGAACTTGTGGTCTATTACTTTAAAATATCCTTTTAATATAAGGTATTAATACAGTGCAATCATGTTAATGTTTTTGTTCTGTCCAGCATATGAATCCGACCAGATCAATAAATGATCTTTGTTTTGACAACTTGGATCTACCTCCAAAAATCTTAAAAGTGCGCTTCCAACTTCAACACTTCCGCGATCCGCTACATCTTCAGTCCATGTACAACAAACAGCTTTCTCTTTAGCTCCATCATTAACGTGAATACCCAGATTGTAAAACCATAATTGGCGTAAGTAGAACGCTTTTGAAGTTGTTAGTTTCGGTAACGGCATTGTTTGTTGTAAATCCATGGTAATGTACACAATATCTCGGTTCCGGTTTGGTTTTTGCCTATCAATTTGCATAGCTTCAACAGCTGCATGATAATTTAACTTATGTTCTTCAGTTGAGTCTCCAGCATCGCAAGTAGGACACGTGTCACTCCTTGGGTAACCAAAAGACAAATTAAATTCTCTGCAAAAATTTTATTGTACGAGCTTTTCGTAATGCGATATTTGTCAGTCAAGTCCTCATTTTGACACATTTCCAAATACAAACCATGCATCTTGGTAACATTGAGCAGCGGTGACAGATAGAGTTTGTATATATTTTTATTTCTTGAGTAATGAGACTGTTCCGCTGGAAAGCTCGCAATATGTGCCTTAATGCATTGGACAACGTCATCGTCCATTTTATGAGGACGGCTTTGATGTCGTACTCTCCGATCTGGTTTAGCAACTGACAGTCCATATTTAATATACTTTATAATGAGATCAATGTTTTGTGACCTATTTGGTATATTCTACACAATCCTAACTTGCATATTTCTTGAGTGCTTCCTTGTTTTTTTACGTAATACTTGTAAGAAGCAGATTTATGCTTTCTAGCGTTACTGCATTGTCTTGCTACAGGTTTACTTACAATGCTGCTGAACAATAAGGCATTTTTACTATTAGAATCTAATGAATAATAGCTATTTAAATATTTTGATTGCCTATCTTCCAGTGAGAACTTACTAGAGCATTTAAGTCTGCACTTCTCGTGGCATAAAATCCCTTCCTGGATGGTTTTCTTCGGAACTTTCACTCCTTTATAAGACATATATTCTTCTCCCTTTGCTCTAGCTACAGCTGCAGACTTTTTCTTCCATGACAGTTCATTTCGGGAGCGTTTCTTTGACTTATTTTCTTTGGGTGGGAATATCTTACGTTTTATTGACTTCTTATTTTCTTCCAAATCTTCACTTTCGTGTTGGTTCCTAGTAGGGATATGGTCCTCTTGCCTTGTTCTGTCGGATTGTTCTCTTATACTGCTAGAGCTAGAGCTTAAAGGGCTTTCCGGAACGAAAACATTATCACTACCCGAAGAAAAGTCTTTGTAATTTTGGCCAGAGGACACATTCTTTATGATGGTGTACACTTTTTTACTATCAGTAGAATGTTTAGGTTCATCTAGGGATTCCTCAATAATATCTGAATCTGTATCATCTATAGGGAAAGGTGTGTTCATAGAACAAACTTCAAAACGTGTGTTTTGGCCGCTGGTTGAAGGCTCGCCATTTTCATAACCGTAGATGCATTCATCTTGAAGATGTGACGCAGGCCATAGCTTTCCTGCAAGAGAGAATAAAAGCCTTAAGGAAGAAAGCGGTAAACAGAAATGCTAACACGAAAGATAGAAAATTTGTTTCAAATCATGAGAATAATATGACTTTCCTCTTTGCCCTTCAGCGTTTCTCCGATTATTCTAACACCAAAGTTTTTTCAACTAAAATTGCAAAAGTTTCTTGTGAAAGAAAAATATTCCCAAAAACTCAAAAACTAATAACTATATTTTAACGGTTAGCGCCTTCACTTTATATAAACAGTAAAAATCAAACATTTTAGTGCAATAACTATTCGTAGATCATTATAACCATTCCTAGTTTAGCAAGAAAATCTAATTTATAATAGTAAAGAAGTAAAATATTATTAAACACTTACTTTGAACAGTTTTGAGGTTATAATCGTTATAAACATCATTGTTCCGAGTTTTTTCTATTATAGGGTGACCGACAGCAGCTTCCAGTAATAATTTTGCCCTTGCTTTACCTCCTGCCATTGCTTTTTCACTTTGCCAACGTAAATTCACTATTATAAAATTAAATAATATTTTGTACACAACATACGCTACAATACGCACTCTGTTAGAAAGCCCGCGAGAATGTGACAATTTTATTGACAGAACGAAAATCAAAACAATTGACTGACGTGAACGAATGAAGGTGTTATGTATGTCACATAACACCTTCATTCATGGAGAAGTGACGTCGTGTCATTCGACTATCGTTCGCTGAGTGGAAGAAGGTGTTATGTTCGCACATATCACTTTCTTCCACGACAAAAAAACAAAACTTTTATTTTATTTATCAAAAAGGTGGTGATGTGGGCTCATACCTCTTTCATCCAGTACCATTTTCAAACTAAACTGAACATGACACCTTTATCAACTTTCTATTTTTAAAATGCGTCCAAAATCGATAGTTTTAGGGTCTAAAATAATTTTATATCGACATATCACCTTCATTTATGCAATAAACACCAAAACCTGAAAATGCGACATATCACCTTCATCCACTTACGTCTTCAATTCACAAAACTGATAATGACAAAATTATACTTTAAATAAAATAATTCAGTAACAGCGCCATCTACACGGTTTTAATAATAAAGTACCATTATAGCAGAAGGGAGCATTTGAAGTAAATTCTCTTAATGTTTTTCTCGTATGATCTTAATTCTCGTAATTTAGTAACGAGACTAATTATAATATTTAAAATGTTAGTTGTATAATTCTTATAAATAACATTTAAGAAATAATTGTTCTTAGAGGTCTACTAAGGTTTTGACGTTTGGTTATCTCTTGTATTCATCTGGGACTACAATATTGAACTTTATCAGTAGACTACAAAGATTAAAAGGCAACCTTTCAATTATATAACATCGTGTAACAAAACAAACTTCAAGCTCAAGACCTACGACTATACGTGTTTTTTGAAGCACGGGGATGAAACACCACCAATTATTCAACGCCGAGTTACTGCTTTTCTAACATCACTTACAAATATATACAAAATTCTAAGACGCTTAATGCCAATAACAAGTTCTTACTTAATATACGCTCGAGAATTACTTGTCAGAGAAACCCAAAACCTGATTTTAGCCCGACCCGGGATTCAAACCCAGGTCCTCATGAGGTTAACGTTAACGTTAACGTACGTTAGCAAACACGTTTACGACTACTATACGAAGAAGGCAACCATATAGTACAGTAAAAACCTAGCCCATTGCAATATTTTGCATACGGACACTCCTGAACTTCTTCCCCTCACTTAAACTATCCTTTTTCAATTCTATGCGCTTGGCCAGACTGCAAACGCGGGCGCGGTGCGGACAGTCACGTCGCGCCCGTACCCGCACGATACGGGCGCGACGTGACTGTCGGCAGTTGAGTGCGGCTTCGTTCCGAGTGTTGCCGTGATCAGTGTTTGTCAAACTATAATATGGATGAAGAAGACTTTATTTTACTGGAAAGTTCTTACTTTAAATGGCAAATCCTACAAGTGAAAAACGGAATTATTGCAATCAATTTACAAGAAAATGAAGAACACACATAAAGCAGCACACCAAGTTATGAAAAAAAACAGTTAGTTATATTTGTGAATACACCTGTGATCTCGCATCGAATTATTAAACGCGGTGAAGTGCCCAGTTCTTGTGTCGATTGGTAACGTACTATCCTTAGACCATTCAACCCAATGGACGAGTAATGTACCTAATGCTACAAACAGAAAAGTCTGTCACTTTTGGTGCAAGGGAGGAAACACTACATAGACAGTACTGCACACCTACTCAATAAAATTTTGTGTCATTATGGCACACACAAATCTAAATCTCCAACACTATTACATTTTACGCACACATGTAGGTTAAATACATCAACATAGAAAAAGTTGACTTTAAGACGGACAAACTAATTGCGTTGCTACATATCGATGTTATATCGATAATTTCTCTAAGAAAAAGAGAAAAACTCACAAGCATTAGCAAAATGCACTCGAACAATTGAAATCATCTATTTAGTTGGTCAGCGTAGCAAGCTTTTTTATGGTTCCGTAGTAACACAACAAGAAACGCTTATAGTTTCGCCAAGTCTGTCAGTCTGTCCGTTTGTCCGCGGCTTAGTGCATAGACTATTGGTATTATAAAAAAGAGCTGTACTCTCTAACAGAAATATAAACAAAAAGTAGAGGAACTTATGTTTTAAATAATAAGCCAAACATCACAAAAGCATTTGTTTTAATATAGACATTTATTTTATTACAATAAAAAGCTTTTGTGAAACAAAAATAAAGTAACTTAATTTATCAATTAACAATAAATATAAAGGAGGAAAATAATAAATAAAATTTAAAAAAATATTTTAGGCTGATCTTAGTGATTGTACAACATCGTCTATTTTAAGACGGTATTCAAATAAAAAAGTTACAAGTTTGCTAGAAATACTAGATTCGCTGACAGAGACATCTTTGATAGTTTAGGAAAACAAACAGGTCCTAGAAAATATAGGAATTGAAGAAAGCGAACTTCAGACAGGCGAGACAATTAATAGTAACTTAAAAGTAAAATTCAAAAACTATTCAGAACAAAATATTCCCCAGAGTTAAGATGTTTCGTCCCAACACTTAATTAATACTTACCAAAAACCTATCGCTATGTACGTAAAAGTTTTGAAACATGTTTGCATACACCACGGACATTGACTAAGTGGTGGTGGACAGTACCATCGATGGCCGACCAAGGTAACTGACGGTATTAAAATTGAGAGTGGAGAGTAAACCTAATGTTAAAATTTATTGTACTTTCGTCATGAATGAAATTAAAATTAAGCAATTGACGGAATACCACACTAGCAGCCAAAGGCATTAACGGCTATGTCGACTACGGGTTTGATTTCATATCCAATAATTTAGATGAAGCTACTGACGCTTTAGTGTTTTTATATATCGTATAAGGGTTGGATTAAGGACTGAATTAAAAGCACAGCAATATATATATATATTTCTACATCCTTGCCACATGTTTAAATTAGTGCGTAGTTCTGATCAACATTATGGAAACTTTAATCAATATAAAAATCAAATACAGTGGTCATACATCCAATAACTCCAAAACTTACAGGTAGAAGAGGTATTTTATATGGTTAACAAATTGAAAGCAAATCATACGTTATAGTTTCTAAATGAAAATGATGAATGGACTACCTTACGACCTAAAATTTTAGCAGAAGTGTTCGAAGTACAGTATGTTGGAAGGAGTTACTCTAACTGCTGATTTCTTGAAATTAATTCATTCATTCACACTTTTATTATAATAATAGGTAACTCTTTAGTTGAGTGTTTAATGATACCTTTTGAATAATAATGAAAAATTATCGATATCGATCGCACATCACAGTCACATCACAACACCAATATGACACCATTTTCAATTAAACACTTTACCTTACAGTGGTCACGCGGATGACAGTAGTAAACCATTGTAAAATAAGAAGATATTTCTGAATAATTAGATATTTCTGGAACCAAATGATTATAAAAAAATATGTAAACTGATTTTTGATCTAACTTTGAAATTAATGTGATATTAATATGTAAAAGTTGTTTTTTTTAATATTATAATTTGAATAAAAAAGGACGTAATAAATGGTTTTTGTTTAATAAATATGATTAACCGTTGACTAAGTGTTACCCTGTTTCATATTTAAAATAAAATAAAAATACATTTTAGTTGATATTTTAAAGCTTTGTATTTTTAAGCTTGAAATTTTAAATTGGACTGCATACATATTCCACGCGACCATTTACGTTTTTTATAAGGCGCGACCACTGCAGGGTTAAGTAATCTCGTTACACTTTTATTGTTTATATGTTTCAAATATAAACTAGTCTTGTAAGGAACATGGTTGTGCTTGAGTGTTCAATTTTAAACTTAATTTGTAACATCTGAGGGTTGACTTTAAAATAAAAACTAGTCTCGTGGGGAGTGTGCTTGTCACATTTCGATCATCACTACGATTTTTATGAAATATTATTTACTCGATTATCTTATCGATATAGTTCTCGATTATTACTTATGATATTATTTATGATTTTAATAGAAATAAACCATACATCAGTAGTATGTACCTTAAAAAAGCTTAAAAAAAGCTGAAAAAAAAGCTGAAGGTACTCCGAGTTTAACAATGACATCGGGACGTCAGTCATCTCAGTCCCCCGTGACCATGGTGCTGGAAAGCGCCCGAAACGTCGGGAATTAAAAATAATAGTAAAATAAACGCGATAAAATCCGTAAAAGTAGTTTTAATCAATGTGTAGTGCTCGCGTAAATATAAGAAATCTTTAAATTACATATCTATAAAATAGTTGTACCACGAATGAGTCGGCTCGACCGTGAAAGGACCACGGTCATACGGAATAGCAGCGTGAAATAGCATCGTAATGCTGCTGTATTTCGTATGGTGAGTGTAGAGGACCGCGGACCCTTTTACTGGTAACGAGGCATTCCATCTTGGTTCTCAGGGGTGAAACCGCATATGCATTTTCATTCTTAATCGAGGATAGGTGTAGACGTTTATGGGTCACAGCATTCACTTATCATGAAGTGTACTGTGCGCTCGTTTGTCACCCGTAGTCTGTAATAAACTCATTGTTGTTATTTTGTTGATGGCTTTTAAAAATAACTAAGTAACTTATTCTCACCGTCCATAATAATATTGATCCACAATATCTGCATGGCGTTAAGAGGATTGGGTATTCCCATGAGTGTTGCCAGTGCGATAAGCGAGAGCGCCGCTATGGACGTCGATAGCTGGAAGCGAACGAAGTTGCGGATGTTGTAGAAAATGCTCTTGCCCTCTTCTATAGCCGCTCTGTAACAATATTTTAAAATTCTGTTAGGTATTAATACCTTCACCTGCCAACAATTGTCTACGGCACCCAGGGTTGACTGCCACATCGCATTACTCGCAAGTCCGCTCTTAAATAAAAAAATAAATAATTGACCGTACTTCAGCAGCAATAAACTAATTCAAGACCTAATCTGAATAAAGACATACGTTAACAAATGATTATGTCAGGTTGTATTATAAACTTGAGACCTGCCCCAACTTAATCTGGGCAGAATTTACTAACGTGGCGTTATTGTTATTTAGACTTATAATAATCGTTAAGGAATCCTACCACCTAGTAACGAACATGTAATATCAGCGCGAATAGGTTAAGGAATGGCCCTGATGCTGTTTGTATAATAGGCCATTTGTAAAATAAGTATAATGCTACTGTTTCGTATGATGAGTATTTTGATATCAAACTCAATGAAACGAAAAAGCGACACTAAAAAGAGACAAATATATTAATCTATAGGTATACGAGAGAATGAGATAGAATCTATTCCTAATATAATAAAGTGGAAGAGGTTTTTTGTTTGTTTAAACACGCTAATCTCTGGAACTATGTGTCAGATTTGGTAAATTCTTTTTTCAAGAGGAATAGCATAGGCTGTCTAGCATACGGCTACACGTCACAAGAAAAAGCGCTCCCGAACTGCTTTATCCGCCTACGCTTGCGTAATGGTTAGTGATACGTAAACACTATGTTGTACAAAAATATAGATCTTTCCTCTTCTATCTATAAAAAAGTACGCGACAAAATATTTTAAATTAAAGAGTTATTAACGTTATATTAACGTTATTATTTGGCATGGCATATTAATCCTTACGAACAAAAGTTACTTCATCATCAAGACAATTTTATGAAGATAAACTTTGCTCTTTATAGCATGTTATTTGTACGCGTGGTTTAAGAAATAATACAAAATTAAAATAATTTAACACTCGGCTCGTCGCGCGAACAAAGCCCAGCCATCCGGTGAGTGATACCACGGGGCAGTGAACAGCTAGTTCAGTAGTACTACTAGTATTTCCTACTGTCTTGGTCTTGTCTGTGTGCGATGCTTTAAAGATGGTTATTATAGCTTAATTGTTAAAATAAATTTCAATTCCATTGAAGTTTTTAATTCTACTGCGTGTGAACTGCACTCATATCTTTTTTCACACATTGCATTTTGCAAAAAAACATGCGTGCAGCTCACACGCGACAGAAATGAAACCTTCAAATGACATGAAATATAATATACAAATACTTTAAATGATGTATTTAATGTTATAATTTAAACTACAAGTTCGGCAGACGAAAATTTTATTTTATAGTTAATAAATGTAACAATCCTATTAACATATATATATATATATATATATATATATATATATATATATATATATATATATATATATATATATATTGGACACCGATATTATATTACTCTTTTCGATATACCTTATATAGTTCTCATAATTATTAAAAGATTTATATCAATTTTACCTATTACGAAGTTGAGGTTTGGCCGTTCTTGACTGCTTGTTTAATCCATAGGCACACGACATCTTCGTACCTTGTTGAACAAAACGCGTAAGCGACGCCGTTTCGGCGGCGTTTACGACTTTTTCTCACGAGCATTGAGTTATAATCTATAATGCTTCCTATCTCATTTTCTCCAAAATTCATAATATGAATTTATGTTTCTGTCTCTTTTTACTGTCGCTTTTTCGTTTCATAGACTTTCAAATCACAACGATGCTAAAGTAGTTTTCACTACAAAAACTTATGAAATGTTTCTGAATTTGTTGACTACAGTAGTAACAAAACAAAATACAAGGTTGGCATTGGCAAATTGGCAATGCAACGTACCAAAACGATGTGAATATCTCCCTCCGCCATCTTGTTTGCACGAGCGTGCGCGGTAATTGTCGAGCGGCGCCTCGACAAACATCCCGAGACGCGGTAAAACAAAACGATCCCTCAACGCTGCTGCACATACCGCGCCAATTAGAAGACGAACATTAAAATACATGCGCTCGGCAAACTTTCGGTACCGCGTATACCGAGCGAAACGAATCCGCACCGCTCCCGCACCGTCAAGTCAGAAAGCGGCCTTAGTTGATATATGGGTCATAGAATCTATTAATCGTTACGTGGTCTAAATATTCGATGATCAGCGATTAACTGTACAAAAACTCACATTATTGTAGCAAAGTCGTCGTCGACGAGGATCATGTCGGCCGCTTCCTTGCACACGTCGGTACCGTTTCGACCCATAGCTATGCCAATGTCTGCGCGTTTCAACGCCACGCCGTCGTTTACACCGTCACCTGAAAATATAAATATGATGACTCGTCATCATCATCATATAGGCAGAGTTGGCAAGGGTCGCCCTAGACGGAAGTTTCTCGACCAAATTGGCGATATATTAAAGATGGGCCAAATTAAGCGCACCTATAAGCGACGAACATGTAGTAGATATGTGGATGTGAAAGAAACAAGAAGTGTGTCAGGATCGTGCCAAATGGACGCCATATTCTCTGCCTACCCTTATGTGTGACGGTCGTGATTTTATGATATGATTATGATGGATCAAATAGTCTTTTATATGGTCGAATTTGTAGACAAAATAATAAAAAACTGCGGTTGCTAACACTCTTGTGAAGAGTGGCAGCTATGGCAAAATCTTCCTTATGAGGCAATCCATGGTAGAGGCCTATGTTAGGCAGTGGACCTTTATTGACTGTAATAGACGAATAAAAATTATTCTACTCTAATAGACCTTTGAAATTACCTATTTTTCAAATTTCTTGCTTGTCTAGATAGGCTATACTTTTAAGGCTGCTCTGCGTCTTCATGTGTCCAAGGTCCAGTTTATATATAACATGACGACCTATGGAACCTAGAATGGACCATCAGGTTGGCCGTACGACTAATTTTAAAGCCGCTCTTCAAGGTAAGTAAGGCGTTATGCTCTGGAAAATATAATAAAAAAGAAAACAGAGTTTTCCTAATCCCTTAGACATTCTCTACCAGTCTTTCCATGGACTGATGAAAATTATACGCAGAAATAATACAAAGGACTTTTCAAAAACGTTCCTAATTTCTTTTTTTTTTTAATTTTCTTTTGTATTACCAGCTGTAATACAAAATATTTAACAATACATTTCAAATAGTAGAGGTATTGATTTTTTTTAATAACCTGTCATCCCCACAATGTTGCCAAGCCTCTGGAGCGACTTAACAATCGAAAGCTTGTGCTTCGGCGTTACACGGTAGAATACGCTCACCTGTGGAAATAAGAATATTACATTACATAAACGAAAAAAAAGGTAAAAAGTATTTTTAAATAGAAAAAACAAAACATCTTAGAAAAACGTTAAATTATATTACAGTCAAGTCTGGCAACTTTATCAATGGAAGTTAACTTTGCCATCAGCGATGCACAGGTACAAAATTACGATAAACAACAAAACGTTTTTCTAGATATACATTTTATTTTAACGTACAATTGTGCCGGCGATTTAACCTCCTTGTTCAGTGCTCTAGAACTTTTGTTGGTTTTGTTTGAATTACTGAACGTAGGTATCTATATTTTTGTAGTAACGTAATAATAATGGTCAGGGCATGAAATTTTCGTTTTTAACATGGTGTTAACATTTTGTCTATAAATCTGTCTTGGCAAAGTTATCATACTAGTGATACCACGACGCGACGGTAACCTTATACTCGTATACGTAGTCACACTGCAGCTATATTATGGTTGTAGCACGGATGGGTCGGCTCGACCGGGGAAGGACCACGCTCTCACAGAATACCAGCGTAAAATAGCAGTTTAATACAGCTGTGTTTCGTATGGTGAGGGTAGAGATCCGGAGACCTTTTTACTGAAAACGAGACATTCTATCTTAGTCTTGTAGGGGTGACAAAGCATCTGCATTTTGATTCTTAATCGTGGATAAATGTAGATCTCTATGCCACAGCATCCACTTACCATCAGGTGGACTGTGTACTCTTTTGACACCATTGTTCTATAAAAAAAACTTTGCCATGTATTATAAACCAAGAGTTGTTATTTTCAACTTATATATTTAACCAATTACGACGAATAAAAGAAAAGGTTCCGTACTTGACATTCTACGTATGTATGTTTGTATAGATGTTTCACTGTAACAGCAATTTAAACCAATTTTACCAAATGAGTTGTCGATCGATCAAATCTTTATCAAAAGTTATGTAAAAGAAAAGAGAAATCTATATTATTTTTACTGCGTTGTCGGGTATTTTTTTAACTTAGTGTGTTGATATTAAATTTCACCCAAAGAACAGTGTCATTTTGAATGATTTTGAATGTTTATGCTATTTTGGGAAAACAATATTTAGTTTGGTTATAATTAATTTTTTACCTGATCGTAATAATGTAATGATAATTACAACTGATAAAAAACTTATACTTGTTAAAAAAATTATGACATGCTTTATTATTGATCTATACTATAACTGATTAAGGCTTATTATTGCACCAATTTGATTTAAGTTAGAGGAGAGTATTTTTGTTTGATATAATTTAGATTTTGTTTAAGAAATCATTAAGAAAAAATTTAAATAAAAAAATTAAGTAAAGTACGTAATCAAAAAATTTGACAACCCTAACACACATTTTCAAGTTTGTATGAAACATTGTAAAATGTGAGGGCAACTTTACCACAAGCGTAAATTAGCTATTTGCAGCACAATTAATGTAGCAAAATAATAACTCTGAGTGTTGTGTACTTTATTATGAGGTAAACTTACCATCAACCTTGAAGTCAAATCCTGTTATTTTCATTATAAACCATGATGGCAAAGTTGCCACAAAGTGAGGTTAACTTTGCAATTTTTACTTTTGAGTATTTTGTCCATTTAATGTTAGTGTTTTTTTTTTAAATTACTAATAAATACGAAGACTATGAAGAATATATTGTCATTTTTAACACTGACGCCTCGGAGAGCACCTTTTATGTAGGAAATTTGGCCCTAAACTTTTAATTCCTTCCAAAAATGGCGAAGTTACCAGGTTTCACGGTAGCCTTCAAAAAATAGAAATATGTTTTTGGTAATTTTAGCGGTAGTGGTCTACTTCTCCAAGCTCTACCAAGCCTTTGGCGGGACTAAACGATTGAAATATTGTGCTTCGATGTTACCCAGTAAAATACGATCTTGAAAAATTTGTCCCTTTTTTAGTATTGTCTAATCTGATTTTTTCAGAAAGTGTGCCATGGTTTTTAAGGCAACGTAAGATACAGTATTTATTTCGATTTAGGGACATTTCAAAACTTGAGAAATAATACAGATAATAAATATTTTAGTGCAATGGTAATAATAATTTGGTAATAGTACTAATAATACTAAACCTTACTACTACTAACACTAACAATATTAAGCATCTGCATATTTTTCATGCGTTACAGCCTGTCAAAAGTCCACTGTTGTACACGTGCCCCTCCTTATAAATGAAACATTTGCCTTAGTTGCCACGCTTGGAAGGCAGGACAAAGCTTGACCCTGAGTACGTTCCATTATAAGGAATGGGTCGCCACGCTTAACAGTACCAGATGCCTCGCACCCTTGACACCGCTTCCTTTCCTCGGTCTTGGTAGAAGGTAGGTTTTACGTGGTAGAGGCATGCTGCTGCTATATAAGTAGTAAAGTTGCAGCACAAATGGGTCGGCTCAGCCGGGGAAGGACCACGCTCTCACAGAATATCAGCGTAAACTAGCAGCTCATCGTTGCTGTGTTTCGTAAGGTGAGTGTAAAGAACCGAAGACCTATTTTAATGGAAACGAGGCATTCCATCTTCGTCCTCACAGGTGACAACACATCTGCATTTTGAATCTCAATCGAGGATAGATGTAGATGTCTGTGTGCCACAGCAACCACTTACCAATTACCATCAAGTGGACTATGTGCTCGTTTGTCACCCATCACCCTTATGCTATAGAAAATGGCATTTGTATAAAATCTTTCGTATTTACCAAATATTCCTGGATGGTACACTAATTTTGGCACACAATACTAAAAACATATACTATACAGAAAAATTATTTATTCCGATTTACTTACTGTTTCAATGATCCTATCCAATTCTTCGTCCGACATGGAGTCCAACTGGTCGCCAGAGAGAGACTGTGAGTGCAACACGTCCAATCCAATCATTTGAGCTGGAGAAATTTTATTAGTTATTAAACAGTTAACAAAGGCTAGGATAGTCAATAGATGTAGGCCGTTCTGGCCGTGCTACTATCAGCTCAAAGTCAGATTCGAAAACGCATTGTTATTTTTTTGCCGTACGAGAAAGCTATAGGACACTCAACGAGCTATGGAAAGAGTTATGCTCAGAGTTCCTCTGCGTGATAGTATTCGGTATGAGGAAATCCACAGAGTAGAACCCGAGTCACCGGCATAAACCAAAGGATCAGTTAGCTGAAGTGGCAATGGCTCTGCCATATGGCTAGAAGAAGTGACAACTACTAATAGGGAAGAAAATAGGTGGAATTTTGTGTATTCAACGTTTGCATATTTTGCATACACGAGTGGAAACCGTTCAGACGTTTTTACGTGGTAGAGCCATGCTGCAGTTATGTAGTATAGCTGTAGAACGAATGGTTCGGCTCGACCGGGAAAGGACCTCGCTCTCACAGAATACCAGCGTAAAATAGCAGCTTAATGCTGATGTGTTTCGTATGGTGAGTGTAGAGAACCGGAGACCCTTTTTACTGGAACCGAGGCATTCTATCTTAGTCCTCACGGGTGACAACGCATCTGCATTTTGATTCGTGGTCGAGGATAGATCTAGATGTCTACGGGCCCCAGCAACCACTTACCATCAGGTGGACTGTGTGCTCGTTTGTCACCCCATCCTATAAAAAAAGACGTTTTGATAACTTTGAGCACTATCGTTACCGTCTGTCTGTTGACTTAAGTTGAATATATTGCATTCTTCTCGGTTGTTTAGTGCCAATGCTATAAGAAATGGAAAGAAGCGGTCAGCCACCGCAGTCTATTTTTCATGATGGTGTTACTTTAAGAGGCTAAAGACGTGTCCAATTATGTACAGTACAGTGTCTCACCGACAGCTCGCGCGGTGCAGCTGGCGTCGCCAGTGAGCATCTTGACAGTGACGCCGGCGCGGCGCAGCGTGGCCACGGCGGCGCGCACGTTGTCGCGCGGTGGATCGCACACGCCGCACACGCCCGTGTACGTCAGCGACTGCAGCGACGCGCCACGGCACAGCGCGATTACACGCAGCCCTGCCGAACGTTCGTTAACACCTTGTGAAACTTGTGAAAAATGTGCCATAGGATACCAGAACAGAGTTCGACAAAGTGCAACAGGTGCATGAAAATCTTTATGCTGTCTGAACGATATCCATTAACGTATATCTAAAAGTATTCATTATCAGTGCAGTGGCGGTTTAAGTGCTTGGCCAGACTGCAAAAGCAGGTGCGTGGCGCGGCACGGGTGCGGGTATGTGCGCGACCGCGCTGTCCGCAGTGGAAGTTTTTTGAGATCCCCGCTTCTCGCACCGTTTGCCGCTTGCCGCCCGCGCTATCACTGAGGCCACTTGTATGAACGAGCTATAGCATGAGTTGCTCGCGCGCTCCCGCGTCACGTAGCCCGCGCCCGTCACCGCGTCCAATCCGCGCCCATGTGCCCACTGTGGACATTTAAACTGACTTTACGTTTGAGTACATCGCGCCGCACCCACTTTGCGCCCGCGTTCTCAGTCTAGCCAAGCATTAAGAATATTCACTACCCATATCATCACGTGGGTGTCGTAAAGAGTGACAGGAAAAAACAAATCAGGAAAGAAGCAGTAGCGTCCCCCTAACGACTAATTTTTTTTAAAAAAAAACGTTACTCCTACACTAGGATTTTCTCCTGTATCGTGGAGGCAGTTTACAAACATAAATTGCACAAGGTCAAACATCCAGACCCGGAATAATTATTTGTATTATATAAATTTTTGATTCGAACCTGCGGCCCCCAGCGCAGCCACTCATTGCTAAGTCACTTCGCCACGGAGCCGTCATAATATCATAAAAATAAAATAGCACGGTTGCCAACACAACTATGGCAAATATGATGCTATCTATAAGAAAGGCCTTTATTCGACAGTGGACTTTCCCAGATCGTAACGGTAACGGCAACGAAGCCATCCTAAAACTTCCCCATAAATTAGCTTATTAGTTCAATATTATTCGTGGAACCTGCAATGTGTAAAAAAAAAAGATAATTTAGTGCATTAAATATATCCTTACCCATTCTTCCAATGTTGTAAGCCTCGGAGAGGAAGTCGTTCTGTTTGTCGCGCGTCATTGGTGCGTAGTTGCCGGAGCTGTCGATGTAGTGGGTGCACAGCGGCAGAACATTCTCTATCGCGCCCTTCACGAACACCTCCTCCTTCAGTTTACCGTCCCCGAATTTTGGCGCGCACTTCACAACCATCATTTTCGTTTCCGAACTGTAAAACACACGATGTTCATCATCATCACCATTACAGTGCATTACAAATTCACTACTGAACAATAGCCTCTCAGATAAAATGCCACAAAGAACGGTCCAGTGCCATTAGCATATAATCTATATAGTTCCTGTATTATTGTTTATAATAATATGCAGTCATTTGTTTATTTATTTATTTAATCTTTATTAAACCTTACATACATTCAAGCATTCTCTGTTGGTCAACCTTAGGGCAGTGATAAAACTAAGAAAGCGGTTACAGAGGAACTTAAAAAATATTATAAAAATATAAACATAAGATACATAATATACTCCCTGCATTTTTGATAAAATTCCTCTCCTTATGGACTCCACCACAATAGGACAGCCCTGGGCATGTGGTGGAGAACAAGGAAATCATTCCCCCCTTTCACACACATTCGTCCCGTGAGTGTCGTAAGAGGCGACTACGGGAACTGTCAAAAATATTTGTTTCTGAAAGGTGGCGGTTTTCCATCTTGTTCATCATCGCCGTAGGAGGACGTAAAATACACATAGCGCGAGACTTCATAGTAGTAATTCATTCATGGAACGATGTAGCGTATACATCGTTATTAAAACAAATCCCAAAAAATGTACAGTGTCTCTATTACCAAATATAAATATCATATTTTTTAACAAAAACTGTACAAAAAAGGTTAACTATAATATAAATGAATATATGGTTATTGATAATCGCTGGGAATGAAGTGGTCGCTTCTAAGCTGTTTCTTAAATAAGTTTTGTAAGTAGTTTGTACAACCTGTGTTCTCAATGTATAATACTTAAAACATACAAAAAGAATCCCCTTTGTCGTATGCTTAATTTCAGGGCACTCCTCTCGGTACCTCAGCTAGTATCCGGCACATCGCTTGCAACTTTACAAGGCACAGGTTCGGTTTCAAGTGGAACTCTGTTCCCATCTCTGGGCTGGACCTCCCAAATGCCAGCTCCTTCCATTTGATCGCATCCAGCGCAGAGCGGTTCGAATCGTCGACGACTGAGTTCTTCTGATCGGCTTGACTCACTGCGGAGAGATGTTGCATCTCTTTGCGTATTTTATCGCATCTTCCACGGAGAGTACTCTGAGGAATTGTTCGGACTAATTTCAGCCGCTTAATTTCACCATCACACATCGCGAGACAACTTGCAATACTATCCATACCATCTGGATGATTGGCGGTCCACCACGGTGTGATTTAAAAGAAGTTTTATACCTCACACAACTTCCTTGTGGAATCAACTACCACCAACGATTTTACCGGAATGATACAACTTATGGACCTTTAGCCGGCAACGCATCTGAAATTTCCCAGGTGTTGAAGTAGTTCATGAGCGGCGGTAGTCACTTACCATCAAGTAAGTCGCGTGCTCGTTTGCCACCTCTCCCATGAAAACAACACTTTGGGAAAAAGTCCCGCTGGGTTTCTTGCTGGTTCTTTGGAGTTTTATTCCGAACCAATGGTTAAGTAAGAAAATGACTTTCAAAAGGAATTACATACTTATAATCTATAGTTAGAGAATTCATAGACACACAACTGCATGTGACGTAACAACAGTCGTGGGGAGAAATAGCCGACGCTATTGGTCCGGAGCAGTGGTGCCTTTTGTGTTGTGCCTAGCGGACGATTAGGTATTAGTGAACCGAAGAGTATCTGGGTAGTTGTAATAATTTGAGTTATAGTGATTCCTCATTTGTGAAATATTGATGTCAATTTAAGTGTCGCTGATAATTTCAATAAAGTTTTGAGCAATTTTTTTATTATTAAATTGTGATGGATTATAAATCTATATTGAATAAAAGATTATTTAGACATTAAATAATTAATTATTTAAAAATTATTAATTATTTAATATCTTCGGAAATCGTATTAATAGAATTTTCAGAATCCTTAAATATCTATCTCACCTGAAAGGTATCTCGTGGAGACGCGTGTATTGCTCCCGTATGTCTTGCATGCCGTTCTTCAAGGCACATGCGAGCAGCGCGCCCTCTGTGGGCTGCCCGTACAAAACTTCGTCGCGAATCGACGCGTTGTTACAAAGAACGCCAACCTATGCACAAACCAAAATAGACCTTAGCGCTAAAGCACAGAGTATACTTTTAACAGCTACCAATACCTTTACTTAAGAGCTATCTCAAATGGTTAACATGATCCTCCGTTATGCTTTAAATAGAGCAGTATTAATTTTGAAATAAATATATGGTAAAGTTGAGGATCAATGTTAAGTACTATGTATACGAAAACGCGATTCCATAAAGTTTTCTTGATAGAAAGTGAATCCAAAGTTGTCTCTTGTTGTTGTCAAACCGAACAATAAACCGCTGTTATTCAAAAAATATTTCAAATTAGATCATGAAACTTTAAAATACTAACTGAACTAACTATATAGCAGGTCTTATGTTTGTTGTTTTTTTAATTAATTATTTAAGATCAAAGAAGCTTGTTCCCTGCCGCCCGACACCCCCGCTCAGTCTCACTTCGGCTTTCGAACGGGAAAGCTATGTCGCTTGCGCTCAGAACACATTACGCAACAGAACGACGTAAAATGGGAAATAACCGTAATAAAAATAAGAATCGACTGGGTTGGCGTAAAGAAACAGGCAAACATATGATAAACATTATGAAGATGTATCTACTGACCTGCCTACTTACAGTATTAGTGATTACAAACATGTAGGTAGATGGCATACGACGCGCGGGGAAATGGGGGCGAAATTAGAATTTGAGCTGAGGTTGTATAGGCTCTTAATTCACAATATCTGAGTACCAATGATGTTTACTCCATACGCAGACATAGGACTAGCCGTATTTCAGCAACGATTTGTTCGTCTTCATAACAAAAAAATAAAGTTTAGTTTTGAGTCTCATCTAGGGTAAGTAAAAAACTCATGAAATTTATTGTAATACCCCCTCTCGACTGGCCTCATCCAGACTCGGCCACTAGATGAAGTGAAGTGACTAATTGGTAATCACTCGCTAGATACGGAAAGCTAAAGAGCGTGCTTTTTAGTAGTCTGTGAGGAGGCTTATGTTCAGCAGTGGTTTTGTTATGGAGCGTAATAACGATGACATGACTATTTCGTGGTGTCCCAGTTACTGATGGTTGGGACAAGCGTAAGGTATAATGCCGCAGGAACATACATAGTATTGTTATTAAATAAACTATTGTTCTGACCAAATAGTTCACAACATATATTTTTATTTTTATTATAAGGGGCAAAATACAGTTTTACAAAAGAAACATTTCACGATTCGCAATTTCGAATTCAAAAATCAAGTAAAAAGGTAAATACCGCCTTAATGCGTTTATTGTATAGAAGAAAGGGTGACAAAGAAGATTTTTTTTTTACTTTTCTAAGCCAGCACTTACCTACAACACCACCTGATGGTAAGTGGTAATGTACCTTAAGATGGTAAAGCGCACTGACTTAACTTAACTTAATTGACATTGTAATCGGATGAAAAGACAGATGCTGGCAACTTATTCCACTCACTTCCTGTACACATGACGAACGACATAGCAAACCGTTTGGTTCGAATGCGTGGTAAGTCATCAACGAAAAGGTTGAGTCTGGCCGAACGTCTGGTTATTCGATAGTGGAAAGGAGATAGAGGAATTAAATTATGCAATTCCTGCGCAAACTCTCCGAAATGCATCCTGTAAAAGACCGAAAGGCTGACTACTTTACGCCGGTGTTCGAGGCTAGTAAGATTAATTTCAACCAAATTCGGGTCACCAATAAGTCTCTTAGCACGCCTTACCATTGAGTCCAAGGCCGCTAAGTGGCATTTTGCAGCACCAGCCCATATATGGCAGCAATACTCCATGCACGACCGGACTTGCGCTTTATATAAAGTAAGCATCTGTCCTGGCGTGAAGTATCGCCGCACCTTTGCAAAGACTCCTAGCCTCATTGCAGCCGCTTTGGCCTTGGACCCAATGAACCGTCCGAAGTTCAGATTTGAGGATATCTCAACCCCCAGCAACTGGAGGCGGTCGGTGTATTCCAGTGATATATTTCGGAAAGACGGAGCCAAGGTGAGCTCGCTCCTTTTCTAAATATTCTAAAATTCTAAATCAGATAAAATGCTTCAAATTCCGCACAACAGTTCTCAACACAGCGATGTGTGTGAGTAACAAGAAGCAGAGACTCTTTATACTGGCAACGAATCTTTTGATTCTTAACCGAAGATAGATCTTGGCCTTCATATTTATATATCGGGTGGACTGTGTGCTCGTTTGTTACCGTTACTTTAAAAAAATTGTTATTTTTGAAAAGATTTAAAACGCTTAAATAAACCCTAAAGAAAAATAGCTTCAGATCCATACAAATTCTAAAATGTTAAATAATTCAATATTTAATAATAAAAATAATACGTATTAATCAATGATAGATTATAAATTAAAATTTATTAAAGGTTCGAATTCCGCGTTGAAAGGTCACGGTCTAAAAGATTGTCTTTGTGCAAATATGTATGTAAAACGATACTAAAATACAAAATAAAATCTCTTTTTTATTCATAGTAAGGCTTTCCTTTTCTGACTAAGAGTCCGACTGGGTAGCTCTCACCCTCTCAATTTTTTCTGCTTTAATTTTGTTTCCAATGTAGTGTATAAGAGAGCCAGTTTAGTTACAGGTAGTTACACCCTGTGAGGAAGATGGAATATCTTAGCAACAACACATGTGTAGACTTTGTTGAGATTAGCTGCAGGTGGCCATCACTATAAAAACGGACAAACATTTGACCTCATTCCTAAAGGAGAACTATAGGCGGTGTACCTCGAGCATGGTCTGCAGCGCCATCTGCGCCACGTGCAGGTCGCGGCCCTTGTACGCGCGCAGCTGCACGTCGCCGTGCGCGCTGTAGCCCGAGCCCGACACCTCCGCGATGTGCCCGCCGGATGTCGACAGCGTCGTTACTGTCATCTCGTTCTTTGTCAGCGTACCTGCGCGGCACATGGGCGGACTGAGTCACCGACACCGTAACCATTACAACCTCATACGAACATAGACCTCCTCCATAACCTCATAGGGGGACGTAAATAAGGAAAAGCAATGGTCCTAAAATGGAGCCTTGAGGGACACCCTACGCTATTTGTTTTAAGCTGCTTTTGTGTTCTGCAAGTTTAAGTATCTGATAACGGTCGGAGAAGTATGAATTAAGAAGTTCAAGAGGCTTTGCTTTTATGCCTATATCATGTAACTTATCTAAAAGATTTTTATTTTTAACTATGCTCATAGTTTCTCTGCGCGACTTAAAATGACGATTTCCGAGGTAGAACCAGAGTAATCGACATAGCCCAACGAATTACAAAGCTAAAGTGGCAATGGGTCTGCCATATGACTCGAAGTACCGACAACTGATGAGGAAGAAAGTTTCTCGAGTGGCAACGTCGTACCATGAAGTGTAGGACGGCCCTCTATTAAATGGAATGACAACCTGGTAAGATATGCAGGAAGTTGATTAATGTAGGTGGCTCAGGAACAATGCTTTGTGGTATTCCTTGAGAGAGGCCTATGAGCAGCAGTGGACTTGTAAAAGGCTGTAATGATGATAAACGCTGACGATAAAAAAGACGTGCCGCCCAACTCTTAGTTTAGGCCTGCCGCTTCTTACGACACCCTCGGGACGATATAAAATAGTTGATATTGTTACAACTATTAAACACCAACACACGTCTATTTATATATTTATGAAAATAGATTACGCATGTACCATTTATTTTACCATTTTTTACGTGGTAGGGCCACGCTGCAGCGATATTATAGTTGTAGCACGAATGGGTCGGCTCGACCGGGGAAGGACCACGCTCTCACAGAATACCAACGTAAAATAGCAGCGTAATGCTGCTGCATTTCGTATGGTGTAGTGTAGAGAACCGGAGCCCCTTTTTACTGGAATCGAGGCATTCCGTTTTAGTTCTCAGGGGTGACAACGCATTTGCATTTTGATCCTTAATTGAGGATAAATGTGTATGTCTATGGCCCACAGCATCCACTTACCATCAGGTGGATTTTGTGCTCATTTGTCATCCAATGCTATAAAAAAGGAAAAAAGTGGCGGTTTAAGAATATCTACTACCGCATATCATCCCATGAGTGTCGTAAGAGGCGACAGAGGGTAACCAACCAGGAGATGTACAGCAGCGTCTTCCTAATTACAACTTAAAATAAAAACTGCGGTTGCCAACCGCCTGTCTAACGCGGCAACTGTTGTAAATATCTACAAGGCAATCTATATGGGCGGCCTATGTTCACCAGTGGACTTTTATAAAACGGTAACATTATGTAATAAATTCAATAAAATAAAAAAATTGATATTTAAGTACGGCGTTGTAAATATCACCACCCAACTCAAAGACGACGAAAAAGATTTCCATAAATTTGCGGACATCTTAGATGATGTCAAATGCTCAATTGATTTTACCCAACTGTCCCAGAAGGAAGCATTCTTTAGCATTGATCTGTTGCCTAAATGGTTTGAAGGATTTTATTTTTTAACATATGAAGTGTCATTAAATTCATCTTAATAATATGAGTGACATAAGTTTTATATACATGAATATATATATATATATATATATATATAGACTACATCTACAAAAGAGAGGAAAGGTTTTTTTAAATAAGTTATAAGAATATTGTTATCAAATAAAAGCTAGTAATAAATCAATTTCACAAATATAACATTTTTATGCTCCCATTTCAACACAAACCCAAAGACAATAACTTGACAACATTTAACTTTTCTTATTTCAGAAAACTTTTTTCGCAGGCGGGTTTTTTTAATTACGTGTATTTTTACATTATATTAGTAGTATTGATGCAGCACGAATGGGTCGGCTGGACCGGGAACTCAAAACCGTACACGCTGTGTTTCGTATGGTGAATGTAGAGAACCGGAGAAACATTCTATCCTAGTCATCACGGGTGACAACGCATCTGTATTTTAATTTGTAATCGCGGATAGATCTAGATGTCTATGGGATATAGCAGCCACTTACCATCAGGTGGACTGTGTGCTCTTTTGTCACCCTTATACTATAAAAAAAAAAAACTATTTTAACCTTTGAACTTGTTAATTATGCACAAACTATGTTGCAAAACCATATGTTTTTTTTTTGTTTACTGTCGATTAAAACAGAATTTCCACCCAACATGACTTCAAAATCAATTTAAAATTCAATATTAGAAGCTAGACACTCTGATTCTGACAGTCGTCACGAAAATGGTGGCATTGACACAACGATTCAAATATTAAAATCGCTTACCAGTCTTGTCGCTGCAAATCACGTTGACACACCCCAGCGTCTCCACAGTGGGCAACTTCTTTACGATCGCATTACGTTTCGCCATACGCATAACGCCAAGCGCCAAAGTCACCGTCACTACAATCGGCAGACCTGGAAAAGAACATAAAAAAATTTTATTTATTTATTTCAACACAACTATCTTTACCGTGTGCCGTGTAGTGGCGATGTAAGAATATCTATAGTATTATTTTGTTATTATAATACAATACCTGTATTGTTTCAGTTTATTTAGTATGTAAGTTTGCTATAATATACACCACCTCCCATTTTACAATAGTACAATTTTGTCCTCGATGTCAAGATTGTCTGAAAAAGATCGCTTTTTGTCTTCTCAATCTCCTAATTATTGTATCTATCTTTAAAGTATATATAATAATAATAATAATATATAATCCTAGTACGATGGTGTAACTGTTCTATTTATTATATTATAAGCATTTATATTTTCAATTATGAAGAACCAGAATGTGTCAAAAAAGGCACGTATGGTAATTCATAATGCTGTGTTAGTCCCTACTTTAATGTATGGTAGTGAAAGCTGGGTGTGGCAGAAGAAGCACGAAAGTAGAATAAATGCTGTAGAAATGCGATCTTTGAAGGAGTATGCTAGGGTTGAATCTGAATGACAGGGTGAGAAATTGCGTGATAAGAGATAAATGTGGTATGCAAGATGATGTTGTGACCAGGATTAAGAAAGGAATGCTTCGGTGTTCTGGTCATGTAGAAAGAATGAATGAGGAAAGAGTGACAAAGCAAACTTATATGGCAGATGTGAACGGCAGAGTCGGGAAGGGACGCCCTAGAAAAAAGTTTATCGACCGAATTGGCGATATTTTGAAAATCGGCCACCTTAGAAGTACCCTTAACCGACGAGCATGTATGCGTAGATATATGGATGTAAAGGAGGCGAAAGAGGTATGTCAGGATCGTGCCAAATGGAAGTCCGTAGTCTCTGCCTACCCCTCTGGGTGACAGGCGCGAGTGTTTATGTATGTATATTTTCAAATCACAAGTCCATACCATTCCATTACAAACATTTAAAAATCCGCTACTGAACACAGGCCTCTCCCATAGACTGCCTCATAGGGTGGAAATTTGCCGCCAACGCCAGCAGTTGCGGCCGTCGACGTCTCTAGGTATCCCTCCGGGTCACATACATACACTAACTGTCACGGCCATCATCCAAAGGGGTCTACAGAGACTATGGACTGCCATTCAACACGGTCCTGGCACACATCTATGGCTTCTTCACATCCATACATCTACGCAACCATGCTCGTCGCTTAAGTATGATAAATGTAGTGTGGCAGCAACGTAAGAAAAATCCATTACCCCGTTCTACGGGTATCGTAAGAGGCGATCGGAGGCTATGAGATCATTCTCCTCCGATAGATTCATCTCGTAAATACCGGATATACATTGATTAAAACTACTTTTACGGATTTTATCGCGTTTCATTTATATTAATTTTAATACCGGACGTTTCGGGTGCTTTCCAGCACCCATGGTCACGGGGGACTGAGGTGTTTGGCACCTCAGGTGTGTGACACCTCAGTCCCCCGTGACCATGGGTGCTGGAAAGCACCCGAAACGTCCGGTATTAAAACTAATATAAATAAAACGCGATAAAATCCGTAAAAGTAGTTTTAATCAATGTATAGTGTTCGCGTAAACATAAGAAATCATTATACCGGATATAATCACCTAGACAGGTAACGGGCGGCAGCATCAAAGGTGCTCACGTCTGGTCTGTTCTGCACAATCTGTGTGACTGTTATTAGTGGATAAAGAAGATTACCATTGCAGAGTCTTTTATTTTAATATCAATTGGACCATACTATACAAAAATGACTATAATACCCACAAAATTAACGATACAGAGGCCATTTTTTGTATTTATTTCTAAGTAAGACTTCTGAAAACATTAATTTTTTTTAGAAGTGGGAGCAACGAGCATGCGGCTCACCTAATGGAAATTGTCGATCACCGCTCACGAACAACCACAACACCATGGGAATTGCAGGTAAATCGCCAGCCTTTTAAAAAGGAGTAACAGGCCTTCTACACGGTCGGGACCAACCACCAATCGTCACGACCTTGGTCGAGTTGATGTAAAAATGGACAGTGTCGACATCTATTGTCTGACCAATATTTTGGTTGATGTCCGACGGCCTCGGTCGCGAGCGCATCCCTCACGACACGTTGGGTCCGTGGTTGACCCAGACCATGTGTAAAGCTGTCGGCAAACAAGAGCGCCTCAGTGCGCGCTTGGCAGTCGTCGCGGGGTATATTAATCATCGATACCGCACGTTGCAATGGCGCACATATTCAAGTAATTCATTAAGTGTCTTGATCCATTCTATGAAAATTTCGAAATAGAAATAGAAATAGAAACTTTTTTATTCAATGTAGATTATAAAAATACTTATTGAAAGTCACTTTTTTAATTTACCACTGGTTCGCAAAAAAAACCTCTGTCCTGGGAAGAACCAGCAAGAAACCCAGCGGGACTATTTTTTTTTAATAATAGCTTACAATCATGTTTACAATCAACAACACAAGACAAATTAGAAATAGCTTGGTAGCGATCACCCTCGAAACACTTCAGAATCAAGAATCCTTAAAATATTGAGATGGTTCAAAGTAATTCGCTCTTTTAGCCACAGTTTCATCCACTTTCTTTTTTTCTTTGATTTTCTTCTTCACTCAAGCATAAAAAAGTTATTACCAAACCGAACTTATAATGCTTCGAAAGACAGGGATCCATACTTAGCTAATTCTTTACGCTTTGAATGCCGTAGAGAACTGACAAGTTGAGTCAACCACCCGATCGTGTAGAACGAATACAAAAATCGGTTGACCCGACCAAGGACACGATGGTCGGCGGTTGCTCCCGATCGTGTAGAACGCCTTTAAGCCCGTTTCTTAAAGGTCCCTAAGTCGTAACATGATAAATGGGCGTATTCTACAAGAAACATGCATTCATCTTTCAATTCTGGATAACTAGGAGTGCTCTGAGGAATTGTTCTGAATCTTCCAACCGCACAATTTCACTATCGCACAACGCAACAAAATTCGCGATACTATACATACCATCTGGCGGTCCACCACTGTGCGATTTAAAAGAAATTTTCTTCCTCGCACAACTTCCTTGTAGAATCGACTAGAGGGACCTTCAATAAAAGAGCCTATTCCTTTTTAAAAGGCCGGCAACGCATCTGCAATTCCCCTGGTGTTGCAGTTGGTCATCGGCGTCATGGGCGGCGGTAATCACTTACCATCAGGTGAGCCGTGTGCCAGTGTGCCCCCTCTCCTATAAAAAAACTGTCTGCTTTTGTTGGTTGAAACATTTCTGCACAACACGGTGCAATTTACTTATTGCTAAATCTATACCTAATTTGACTAACTAATAGAAACATACCTTCAGGGATAGCAGCCACCGCTAAACTCACGCCAATGGTGAACATGTCTTGCATGGCTTTGCCCTGCAGGCAGCCGGTGACCATAATGAAGCCGATGATACAGAAGGAATACAATGACAATTGCGCCCCTAAGGTGTCCATGGACTTCTGCAGCGGAGTTTTCGGCGCCTCTTCGGCTTGCATCATGCGGAATATGTCTCCGAATTCCGAACGCTCTCCAGTGCTTACCACTATACCCTGGAAAAAAAATGGTAAGTGCATTAGTAAATTACGGTAGACTTAATTGGCAGAATCAAGTTGTACCGGCAAACTTACCTTAGCATTCCCACAGCGAACAAGAGTCCCCAAGAAGGCTATGTTATCCTTATTGACCCTGCCAGCGGCTGCCTTGTTTGGCAGGACACTCTTGACAGCCGGTTCCGTCTCCCCAGTGAAAGAAGACTCGTCGATGGCCAAATCCGACGACTCGAAGAGTCGCAAGTCCGCTGGAACTCTGTCACCGACGTTCAAATGGACGATATCGCCCGGAACTAGGTTCCGAGCGAGAAAATGTTCTAGGCTCCCTTCTCTGAGACTGCAATAAAAGAAATAAAAATCATCACATAGAGTACATTATTAACCATTGCCGTACAGTATAGCTAAGGACAAGTGGCCTTACAGTTTGTTTGACTGTTTGAATTTACAATTTTGTATTTACAACCACTCCCATATAAGAAGAACAGAGTTTTGACAGTATTGCCAGCATGCTAGTCATTACAGGTGTACAGTGCATTTTATCCTATTTCCCAAAAGTAACAACAAATCTCTGACCTTCTCTGCTTGAAGTTAGGTGCAGGTGTTTATGAACGAGAGCCATTAACATTAGCATCTCATACTTCTAATCTAATCAACTCAGGAATGTGAGATGGGTGCGTTGGGAGATTCAATCTTATCTTGTGGGAGTGGGATTCTCATATGGCCTTCGATCAGTGAAGGCATAACCGTAATATATGCTAGCACTATTGGACTTCTGTCTGTTATGTTCCAGTCTGAAGAGCATAGTGTGACAATATAACTACAGTCTGTGAGGCGTTTCGTCTATGTCCGCATCTATAAGCCTCCTTTTTAAGTTGGCTGCGGGGTGTACAGTCAAACCTCAAGGGTGACAACGCATCTACTGAATTTTCATTTGGCAGCTTTGCCACCACCACCACTTAATATCAGATGGACTGTAGGTTCGTTTGTCAGTTCAAATTTATGCAAAAAATATAAATTCTTCCGTAAAGTTACAGCTTATATACGTCCCACCGCTGGGCACAGAGACCTTCTATGATTTCTGACAGTTTTAGGACAAGGAAATGTCCGCCGCGCTGACCCAGTGCGTGTTTGCGGACTTCACATGTCTTTGATTTTTTTATTTCTTTAGATCAGTAGTAGGTTAGCGGTCGCCGTATATATTATAGTACGCGAGCAACCCTGGTTTGATCCCCGCCGGGGGCAATGAAATTTTTAATTGCAGTTTTAAGCGCTGATTTACAAGGTGTTCGATTTTATTGTTGTCCATAAAAGATGTACTTATACACAATGCATATCAAGTATTATTAGGTAATATGCCACAAGGCTCTCCTTTAGGCGTCTTCCTTTACAAACAACTGCATCGCAATCACCGCTTGTATTTTAGTTCACCTAACAGTTACCTAAACATCAATATAACCGTATTAAAGTTTAATTTAACTTTGTCGTCGTAGTACCTATTTTCGGATCGCATACACAAGTGAATTTCTAACAAATTTCACGTTAACTTCTGTACATGAGAGCTTGTTAAAACTGCGAACTACATTTGTTATTCTTGTTTCTACAATGTTATAATTAGTGTTGCCTACACAGCTTTTGATTTTAAATAACTTGAGCAAAATTGCTACCTATAAATTAGCGTGTTAAACACAGAGATTTATATATTATTATTATTACGGATTAGTAAGCAGAAGTGGCAATGGGCCGGCTATATAGCTCGAAGAACCGACAACAGATAGTGAAAAATGGTTCTCGAGTGGCAGCCTCGTACCGCTGGGCATAGCGTGGGGCGACCCCTCACATGGAGTGACGACCTGATAAGACGTGCAGGAAGACGATGGATGCGAGTGGCTCAGGACCGCGCTTTGTGGCATTCCGTAGGGGAGGCCCATGTTCAGTAGTGTGGACTTGTGAAGGGCTGTAATGATGATGATGATGATGATTATATATACTAATAACTTAAATGTCTTTGGTGTTAAACAAGCACGTACTCAGATAGAGATTGAATCCTTATAACCCACAGATCATCTAAATCAGGCTTATATAATAGTAGACGAAAGCGTAGACTCCTCTCCTGTCCGCGTACGTGACGCTCCCTACACGCAGATAACAGTCCCACTTCTAGAGCCGTTAGACTAATAAACTGTTTTCTCAGGGCCAATCCAGACGCAGATATATTTTTTGACAAACCCAGCGTAATGTATAAAAATGTGTTAATATTCTTAAATAAATTCGTAATATAGAAGAATAGTATAAGTTTATATTAAGTAATTTATGATAAAATAAATAGATCTCATTATTATATTTAATAATTGGTAATTAATTTCTCGTGTATTTTATTTTATTTTGTAAGTTTAGTATAGATATAAGCGATTTGGTTGTATATACAGTAAGCTTATATTTTATCAATAAATGAATATGAATATCAATTAGAGTGACGAACTAGTCCACAGTCCACCAGAGGTAAGTAGCTACTGCAGCCCAGAGACATCTGTAACCAACTTCAGACGGAGAACGTACCAGATATGTTGCCACCACTAAAGGCTGAAATAAATAGTTCGTAGATGCTGCCACAATGGCTCACCACTCTACGTATTGTTACGCGCTCAAATCGACGATACACTAGCGCCATCTAGTGTCAGGAACGAGAGCGAGGGGATCATTGAGAAAATGACATCAAAAATCACTCAACCGACAGCGCCTAGTCGAAACTCGAACGCTCGGTACCTTGCGCGTGTTTACTTGAACATTCTGGATATTTCTTTGCTACTCGTAATTTAAATAAATTGGCGCTGCAAGATGCGATCGAGGTAGTGTTGATTTGGCGAAACAAGCGAAGCTTCGGAGCGGAATAAAGTGAATTAGTGTGTTTAATTATTAGTGTTTTTAACTTTAATTTGTGTAAAGTAAATTAAAGTGTTAATTTAGGTAATTTTATCGGCAATTTTTATTGTCACGAACCTCAAGCTCGTAACAGTATTGACTGGCAAAGAATGCCGACAAGTAATTAAGCTCGCCCATTACCTTAGTTGTAAGATGTTACAATAAATAATAAATTACTAAATAAAATAGATACATAGTAGAATATATGTTTCACAGTATTGGGTTCGTGATTTTGTAAAGATGGGCTCGCCACCTACCATTTCTTTCACAAATTTCCATCTAAGTACATATCTCTGTTAAATATTGTCCGAGTATTTCTTGTGTTTACGCTAACACTACACATTGAAATAAAACTAGTTTTCAATGATTATATCAGTCACAGTCCGTGAACACGTACAATATCGCCCCCGTCACTACATCAGATTTGATAGATCACAAACCCTCGCTAAAGAACACAGATTCTTTTTAAGGATGATTCGCAAGACTATTGAAATCAAACAACATCCTAATTTCAATAGAGAAGATGGCTGAGCGCTACCATCTGCTTGGATCTTATAATTAATAAAGTTAAATCCCAACCCAAGCCTACAACTGCAAGACTTCAAGATATAAGTTTATATTGCGTAGATCGGAACAAAATTTAATAACTTTATCTGGAGGTAGCCGTGGTTAACAATGACATTGAGACGTCGAGCACCTCAGTCCCCCCGTGACCATGGGTGATGTAAAGTAAGTTAACATACGCCATATAATCCGTAAAACTAGATTTATTTAAATATTATAATATTCAGAGTAGCTCGTTGTTCGAACCCAGCTTTAACCCTTAGAGATCACGGGCGTGACGGGCCAGATACAGGTTTTCTTATCATTCAAACCAAGGCATAGCAATTGTTGCAATATCGCTTATAGCCAGATATAATAAATAAGAGAGTAGCAGTAAGTCTTAAGAACTACTATACCGAAAAGGAACTCTCCCACAATGTCTTTTTGGTAATGTAAAAAAAGACGCCGTTAGTCATAGGAGAGGAGTTAAGTTCGGCACAAAAAACGTTTCAGAGTTCTCAGCTTTGCTTATAAAAGAATTAAGGTCTAAACGGCCGCTAAGCTCATAGTAGTTGCTTATGACACAGGATATATAGGAATGTACATTTCTTCTCTTCTTCTAACTACTATGGAAATCAGAGTTACAGTTACAGTATAGTAAGTCTACTAGTTTCTGAATTATAGAGGAACATTTCCGAACTTGATTGACACACTACCATGTGTCTATATTTAGAGACCAAATAATCAATAGTCTTGGCTTGGCCGTTATTCACCATAATGGATTTTATATTTAACATGGTAGAGTCACGCTGCATCTATATTACGGCTGCAGCACGAATATGTCGGCTCGAGCGTGGTAGAACTGCACTTGTGTTTTATATGGTGAGTAACGAACGTAATCGGAGACCGCCCTTTACTGGTAACGAGCTGTATTACCTTAGTACTCAGGAGCGACAACACTTCTTAATTTTGTTTCTTAATCCGGAATTACTCCCCGGTTGAGCCGACCCATTCATGCCACAACTATACAACTATACTAAAATATACCTGCAGCATGGATCTATCACGTATAAGTTTTTTTTACAGTATAAGAGTGACAAACGGGCACACAGCCACTCGATTGTAATTAATGCTGTTGCCTATAGCTAATCTAATTTTTTTTACGTGGAAGAGCCATGCTGCAAATATATTACTAGTATAGTTGTAGCACGAATGGGTCGGCTCGACCGGGGGAGGACCACGCTCTCACAGAATACCAGCGTAAAATAGTAGCTTAATGCTGATGTGTTTCGTATTATGAGTGTGGAGAACCGGAGACCCTTTTTACTGGAAACGAGATATACCATCTTAGTCCTGATGGGTGACAACGCATGTGCATTTTGATTCGTAATCGAGGGTAGATGTAGATGTCTATGGGCCACAGCAACCATTTACCATCAGGTGGACTGTGTATTCGATTGTCACCCTATCCTATAAAAAAATCTATTTTCTATTAAAATCGAAGTGTCAAGTTTGAATACAAAGATAAAATGCTTTGGTACAAGTAAAGTAACAAGGTTATTTCTGCCCTCTCACCAAAAGATACACAACCAGCATTAAGCTGGTGTTCTGTGAAAGCGTGGTCTTTCCGCGATCGAGCCGACCCATTCGTTAGTGTTCGAATTTAAAAATGTATATCCTCATTTAATTATAATGTACCTACTAATTAACTCCTATAGACATCAAACCATTAAATTCTAGCTCCATTCGTTGTGTCGTTTCTGTTTCAATTTTATTGTTCCGCTAGAATGTTGACAATTGATTTTTTCTTCGCGTTTACATCTATCGATAGTTTCATGTTTTACTAACACGCCGCGCCGCCGTGCAAACGCACAGCCGTAATGAATTGATTTGAAACCGCACGTGACCAATTTTATTTGATAATGCATGAAGTTATCGCTCACTAATTAGCCAATTCCAAAAAAAGGAGGTTCCCAATTTGACTGTATGCTCCTTTTTTTGCATGTATCCGTTACCGTTACAGCCTATCAAAGTCCACTGTTGAACATACACCTCCCCCTTTAATTATCTCATAGTGGTATATTTGCCGAAGTTGCAGGAAAAGCCCAAAAAATGTCGGGTAGCGGAAGCGTAGTACGAATAGGTAGGTAGGATCAAGAGTACAAGTTCCAAAGCCAGACGTAAGAATAAGATCAGGCATTTAAAATATAACTAAAAACTTAAAACTGTCCACATCAATAAACCAAAAACTTACGTTTGAAACAGTGATTTGACAGCGCTTGACCGACTGACCAATGTTCGGTTTCTTTTCCAAATTTTAAACTAAAATTAGTTAAATGTAATAATAACTTATTTATAAAATACAATTTGAATTGTTTTCAATTTTTAAATATAAATTTTTTGAATTTTATAAGACTAGCTTAATCTTAGCCCGATGCAACTATAAATTTAGAACCAAAGATTATGCTAAGCATATACTCAGCTAAGTATTTCGTAATTAAAGTCAAAGTACGGTCTATAGATCTCGTCCTTAGAGACTTAATTGAAGTGTCATTATTTAACTTAAAGTAGGTATAGTCAGCTCCCTGTTACAACCTGGAGTTTGCATCTGGGCCGGGCGGTTTGGCGAGGAAGGGGTAACGCGCAGATTTATCAAAACCGGCGCTCTGCGCTCTCTCCTCTTTCTTACATTTATAGCAACTCGCGGACATAGACGTGGCACGTTAAACCAACGGCCGTGTGCCCCGACACAAACCCACCAGATATTTTAGTTGGTATGGTCTTCCTAGACCCTGCAACCGAACTCCTGGTTTGTTTCCCTATGTCGCCTCTTACGAAACCCACGGAAAGATAAACCTACCCATCTCGTGGATATTCTTACACTACCATATACAATTACAATTACATTACTCTATGTTGTACAACAACAAAACATAAATATAACAAATAATGAACAAACAATGAGGGAAAACCAAAGGCGGTCTTATTGCTACATAGCAATCTCTTCCAGACAACCCAGAAGAGGAAATTAATAAAAATAAAAATAAGATTAACGGGTAGGGTGCACTAAATTAGACAAAAAAAACAATATAAGCAACATATATAAGCATGTTACATATATAACATATATAAGCATGTTACGAAATATCTTCATCAATATTGAACTTTTAATATTTTAGGGGTGGTCAATATTGCAAATGTACTGCTGCTTGGTACAAGAAATAAGTTTTTTTTTATAGGATACAGCAGTTCATCTAAAAGTAAATGAATGCTGTCCCCTAGCCACCTACATATTATTATATCATCAAACAGAAATCAATCCAACTCTAAGATGGAATGTCGCATTACCAAAAACAAAAGTAGTTCTCCAGTTCTATTACGCCGCTATTTTACAGTGGCATACCGTGAGAGTGCGGTCTGCCCGTAATACGGCTGCAACGAGGTTCTACCACGAGAATGATGGTATAAACCAAGAGACGGTCTCCTAGACAGGAGACGGTCTTACCACCTACTATAACACGAGATTAAAGAAAATATTCCTTACCAGTTGCATGATGGTGGCACTAGCTTATTAAGCTCTTCCAATGACTTCTCCGATCGGTACTCCTGAACGAAGGCGACAGTCACCACGATGATGATGGCGACAGTGATAGACGTTGCGTCGTCGAACTGGCGCATGCAGACGCTCACAAAAGCCGAAGCTGAAAAGTGTTTATCGTTAGTACCCTCACCATGGGATGTGCGTAAGATAATCTACTACTAAAAGTCTACCAAGTCTCTAGTTATCGTTTCAAACTTGTACCAAGACCATCGACGGGAGCAGCGTAAAATTCACTACGATTTCCAATCCATTTGCGAAGAGTGAGACGAATTCTAGGCATTTTTTTAAACGTTCCCCCACTCTAGAAATCTCTCCTGTATCATGGAGGCAGATTACATACATACATAAATTGCACAAAGACAAGGAACAATTTATTTTAGGCCATACAAACTACACGTTCCGTGCGGGATCGAACTCGCGTCCCTATACGCTGTAACTTATTTCTGAGCCAATGCACATGCAACAGCATTAAGCTACTATTGTACGCTGGTATTCTGTGCAAGCAAGGGCCTTTTCCAATATACGTACGTACGTACACCCTGTTTCTAATATACGTAAACGAACTCTGCAATATGAAGATCCCTCATGCTAGCATATTCTCATATGCTGACGACACTGCCATTGTGTTTACAGGCGACTCCTTGAACAATTTAAAGATGAATACAGAGTACGGTTTGGCTGTGATTTCGCAATGGCTAAGTCTTAACTTACTAACATTAAATACCATCAAAACAAACTATATTTTGTTTTCCATAAAAAACAGTCTGCCTGACTTTCCCAGTGATATTAAGATTCATTGCTGTCAGCCGCTAGTTAGCACGAATTGCAACTGCCCCACTATAACTAGACTAACTTCTACGAAGTACCTTGGTGTCTTAGTGGACCAGAGACTTTCATGGGTGTCTCATGTCGAATTAGTTTCTAGCAGATTACGTAAATTAATGTGGATTTTTAAAACACTAAGACACGTTGCAAGTAAAAAGTTACTTGATCAGATCTATATTGCGTTGGCACAATCTGTTTTGATTTATTGTATAACGATATGGGGTGGTGCAGTAAAAACTCATTTTATACAATTAGAACGAGCTCAAAGGGGATTATTAAAAATTATGTATTTCAAAACACGTCAGTTTTCAACAAATTCATTGTATTTATATGCAGATTTATTGACAGTTCGTAAACTATACATATTGCACGTAGTTCTGAAAAAACATATGTCCTTTAATGTTGACACCAATATTTTAACTAAAAGAAGAAAAGATAGAGTCGCCACACTAAATTACACCAAGACTAAATTTGCTCGCAATCAGTACAAAAACATCTCGTCTCACTTATATAATCAAATAAATAAAATACTAGATATATATCCTATGACTTATAGAAACTGTAAACTAAAACTCACTGAATGGCTGAAGACATTAGAATTTATTGAAGTTGAAAATTTGTTAAAATTAGAATTTTGATATGAGGTTATTTTTGTGTAAATCACTCACTCATTACATACATACACACATCATAACCTCCACGTACTTGTATATGTAACTACCACCTCTGCTCAGTGGTTTAACGCTGATCCCAAGACATTTTATGTCGTAGGGCTGTGCATAGGGGAAACGTATGTAAACTTTCACACAACACATTACATTCACATACACTACACACATACTACACACACACTACACTTTCACTACATACACACACACTACATATATATTATTTTTACTTTCTTTAATTTGTACAAGCGGTTCTTGCTTTAGTAAATTTTATGATATGGAAGAGGGGCTTACTTCTGATACGGGCGCATTATGCGCTCAATAGAAGAAGTCTACCATGATATATGTATTTGTCAGACCGTGGTTATGAATAAAACTTTTTATTTTATTTTATTTTATTTATTTTTTTTCCGGTCGAGCCTTAGAAGATTTAACGTTGTAGAACGTGACTCTACAACATTAAAATCTGTCAGTAAACAGAGTTAAGAAAGAAGAAAGCAGAAGAAGCCGTCGTAGCTCAGATAGTTAACGCTCGCTGTAAATATAACAGAACGCGTGTAACCCAGGTTCGACCCCCGCCGGTACCAATGAAATTGTTAATTGCAATTTTAAGTGCCGATATACCACGTGCTCGGCGGTGAAGGAAAACATCGTGAGGAAACCTGCATGTCTGAGGAATAAGAAAAAAAATATTTCGAAAACATGTGAAGTTCGCCAACACGCATGGGGGCAGCGCGGCGGACACTTTCTTCCCTAAAACCCTCTCAGAAGTTAGAGGCCTGTACCCAGCTGTGGGACGTATATAGGCTGTAACTTTACTTTTTTTTTTACTTTAAACAGAGTTACAGTAGAACGTGGTAGAGCCACGCTGCAGCTATATTATATTTGTAGCACGAATGGGTTGGCTCCACTGGGTCAGGACCACACTCTCACAGAATATCAGCGTAATACTGCTGTGTTTCATATGGTGAGTGTAGAGAACCGGAGACCCTCTTTACTGGAATCGACGCATTCTATCTTAGTCCTCAGCGGTGACAATGCATTTGCATTTTGATCCCTAATTGAGGATAAATGTGGATGTCTACGGGCCACAGCATTCACTTACCATCAGGTGGACCATGTGCTCGTTTGTCACCCAATGCTATAAAAAAGAACAGAGACAGAGAACAAAGCCATAATCACAAGGACGAATTTGCCGTAATATCCAAGCTTGACTTATTATTAATGACCCCATTACATACATGAATTGTTTCGAGGTTCATATATTATGGAGATCAGTCAGACTACTGTACAATACTAACATATTACGTACTTGGCCGTTTCAAAGCAAATGGAACGAATTAATTGTTGAATCCTCATACATCACTCAATTGAACTTGGTAAATTACTACGAAACATATCATTTGATACAATGTAAATTTTACTACAAGTGATACTATGACGTCATTAAATTCCTATAGAAGTTTAGTTTTAATAGCTCGCAAAAAGTATTTCATCTTTACAAATTAATAAAATTGAAGTGTACGTTTGTAATGTAAAAGTAACAGCTTTTTTCTACATGCAATATGAAAGTATATACGGTACTTTACCAGAAAAACACAATTTTCAAATTTTTGTCTATCTGTCTAGTTTGTTCCGGTTAGTCCCCGAAACGGCTAGACCTATTTTGACGGGACTTTCACTAGCAGATAGTTGATATTATAAGGAGTAACTTAGGCTACTTTTGGAAAAAAGAATTAGGGCTCCGCGAATTTTAACGCGGACGAAGTTAAGGGGAAAAACTAGTTTGACCTAAGTTTCAACTACTCTATTAGTCATAACTATATAAACAAGCATAGAATGTTAGCTCAGTGAAAACTAGATGTTTCAGAATTCTATTCAGAGGCTTTGATCATAACAAGAAGAACAATAGATATTTCACCTAGTCATAGATTGTAAAAATTGTTTATTTTTTTAAACAATTGGAAGTGAGAGGTTCTGTGAACAGCACTCTCGGACTCTTCCCCGAACGAGCAAATCCATTCGTGTTAGACATTATAGCTACATCGTGGCCCTTCAATACCACGACACATTGCAAGAAAGAAGCATATTAAACATAAGTTTTTACTTTGGTATTATATTATACTTTAAGTGAGCTGTTTTTGTTTATATGCACATATGTATAATTATGTAATTGGTTTCTCGGAACCGGCTCTAACGATAGGATGAAATTCTGTTTTTAAATACTAGATCGGTTTCATCCCTGAGAATTTATTTTCTAACGTCGAACAAAGCCTGTCGCCTAGGTTAAGTAGTTAAAGGTATGTAGTTAGTTCATGTAACAGTCAGGTCCACTTGTTTTAATGATTTTCTGATTACACAAATTATCAGCTAACTTAATGTATTCATTGACGCTGTAATCCCATTATAAACACAATAACCTATTTTTTTTTTGTTTTTCACATCCCTTTCGAAACAATACAGGATTTTCAAAGCAACACTTGTTTTGTTTTGAGTGTTCATAAGACCTTATACTACGTATATAATATATAAATTCTATGAAATATTTTATTTCATAACCTGATGCCTTAGGCAAAATAACTTAAAAATTAAAATAAATTCATGTGCAAACCCTATATACATAAAGATTGAATTCAACTAAGCGATAACAATCGCAATTATATAAATAGTACAAAATAATGTGGTTTTGTAGGACTGCATAGACTATTGTTCCGTACGAAGCTACTACTACTCCGAAAGCGTCTCGACACTAAAATACATTCATCTTTGAACATTATCAACAAGAAAACGATGCTAAAAATGCGTTAATCCCGCCGCAGCCGGCCTGTTTGGAATGCAGGGACAACTAAAATAGATCTCTACCAAATTTGGTGCGCCTCTGAATTCCTTACATATTCTTTTGCCCTAGTACTGCTATACTTTATTACGTACTACCGACCTACCCTGGCATCACCTGGGTAGGATTTCTTAATGTGGAGTTATTTAGTATTAACTAAATTACTTAGTATTAAGACATTTCGCAGGTATCGTGTTCACGAGTGATGAGCGGCGATATGCTCCTGTTTGGCCGGCCTGCTCGCAATTTTATTGCACGATATTTATTTGATTTTTTTAAAGTGGAAAATACTCTTTTATTAGAAAATAAACCCATAATTCCTCCATGTATTTAATTGTGAGCACATGGACAGAATTTAATTGAAATTGCTTTAGTAACATTCGAATGAAACTGCTTTTTCCCTTACTGGACGTACCTAAAATTGTAGATTTTGAGGAATCTTTAGATCACAAAGTATTTGTATCGAGCCAAAATGTGTCAATCGTGTTTTGGCCATCACAAAACACTAAGGAAAATCTTTAACTATCATAATGATTGAAAAAAGTGAATTCGTAGTTTTTAAGGAAAAAAAATTCTGCGCACCTATAAAGCGTGAAAAATCTGCTTTTTGCGCCTATTTCACCTTAAAATTAATAAAACCAATTATTTGACCAATTTTTCCATTTTTCTCTTTTCAAAAACCTCTAAGTATCTCGGATAAAATATAGACAAGATCACTCCTGGCATTGTTCTCTACCTGTTCGTGATGTTTCATAACTATCTGTTCAACAA